TTCTATATATTACCATCATAAATATCGGCAAGATAATTATCATTTATATTTCTATTAACCCATTTTCTACATGATTTCTCAAATCCATTTTGGCTATATAACAATGTGAGCTAATCTTTAATATTTATTGTTAGATAAATAAGCAAAGGACGAAACAATATTTCATCCTTTGTAGGCACCTCTTTTGCCAATTGTTAATTACAAGGTTGTCTTATTTTAGACATTGTGTGATTAGAATATTCTACAAAAGTACAATATAAACATATTAGGATTTGTCCAGACCTTTTTGTTATTATCTTACTAGGTTCATACAATTTATTATATGCCGAACAAGTTGCATAATTATTTATGTATAGACCTAAATCCATTAACTTTCTGGCTAAATAGAGTGACTTAAGAAAGTTTTTAAACTGATTCTGATCAAGATCTGTTAATAGAAAATGAATAAATTTAACTAATAATTCTGTTGCTATATCAGGTAACCGATATCATTGTTGATATCTTAGGATCCAGATTAATATCCAACCAAAGCTATTATCAAGATTATCAATATATTTGAATTCTTCTTCATCTCTGTTTTCAATATCAGGAGCAGAATAATCCATTATAGTTTTCTTATCACTTTCAGGCTCTATTTCTGCAACAACTTCATCATCATCAGAGATATTTAAAGTCTCAAAAACTATAGCAATATCGGGTTGTTCTTTAATTATAGCTTTTGTTTTTTTTCTATTATTTTTAGTTACAAAGAAGAAACAATTCTTCTTGAAGACTAAGATTAATTAAAGTAGAGAAAGGTATATTAGTTTGAGATGCGCTACTGTTTTCTATTTGAGGATTTGTAGAAGAAAGAAAATCATCTCTAGGTTCAGCAGAACCTATTAATTCTTCATACATTCCATATTTTTCAATATGCGCATCTCTTGTTCAGGGATCATAGGATTCTTTTTCACCTTTGCACACTTTATATATGCAAATAACTTTTTTTCAAGTTTTTACTGCAGGTATTTTTATAAATAACTGATGACTATGTTTCATTTTAAAAAATATTTTAGTGATTGTGGTTTTAGATATCAGGTAGTAAGGCAGACAAGTG